ATGGATGGATGGATGGATGGATGGATGGATGGATGGATGGATGGATGGATGGATGGAGGGATGACAGATGGATGATGGATGGATGAACAGCACTCACCAGAGGGGCCATTCATTATCGAGTCCACCTGAAACGGGCTGTAACGGCCTCTGATGACAAACAAACACGTTTTAGGTTAAGAATGCTAATGGTCTGTAAATCGCACAATGTCAGAATAAATTCATGTTTGTCAAAGTTTTGGTCTGTTTCTTTGCTGTTTGAGTTTTTGGTTTGGTCTGCCTTAAGGTATCAGTTCACAAAAACTGTTTAAAACTTTAATATTGTTGCATCTCGTCTTTGCACTTCAAACATTAACTAGCTTTGGAGGACACTCTGCGGCTGGAACGGAGGTTTAGAAAACAAACTTCTGTTACAGTAACAATGATTGATTTATTACATAAGTACCAGATTGAAACCAGTTAAAAAATCAACTATTTGCAATCTGAGGAATTTGGACGCCGTGTATTTGGTGGCCGACCAGCTTTAATCCTGACATAACAAGGAAGGACCACAGCTATTTCAAAGCTAAATAATGGTCTTAGCAGTTGGCTAAAAAAAACAGTTTGTGCAAAGATTTGATAGGTTTTGCTGTCTATTCCTGTCTTTGAGATGTGAGGAAAACCTTAAAAAAAGTTGCATCGCTTATATTTCTGTATCCACAGGTAAAAACAACCATGCACCCTTAACACTCCTACATGAGGAGAAATGTTAACAAAGCCCTTAATTAAAGAGATCTTTTAAAAAATAGTCCTCAATGACACAGGGGGAGTGAGAAAATCATTAAACAGTTATGAGGAATCTCAACCACCAGAGAGGAGAGTTTACAGTGGCCATGTGCTGTGAGGCTAAATCTAAATCCCTAAAGCACAAACTTCCCCAAAGTAATAGACAATTACTTTGCTAAACATGTGAGAAATGAATGGTGTCCCTCAGAGGAAGTGAAAGTGAAACTAGAGCTCAGACACACGACACGGATGTGAAACAGAGGTCAGACCTGACATGCTTTTTGGTTTTTACCCAACTGTGAAATCCTTTTTTAAATCTGAGAAAAGTATTATTCAATAGTATCTTTAGACTTTTAATTTAGACAAATAACTGCAAAGCATCTTCAACCAGAGCTTTTCTTTATTCAGTGCTCAATAACAGTGGTTTTGACATGAAGTGCAAAGTTCCTGAGAACTGGGAAAAGGTCTCAATCATTGTTTCATTAAGCTTTTGCAACGTCACAAGTTTGATTTTCATCCGTTTATCACCAAAATCCGGAACTGATGACGGGAGTCTGACCACCTGATGAATCCTGGTTATTCCTGAGCCACTCTGGGCAGAAATGAGCCATTGATGGAATAATTGTTGGTGATCCTGGACCGGACCAGCCCCTGATCGGGACACTGCCCCCACAGGCGTGATGGGGAATTACATCATGGTCCACTCGGCCTCTTTCCCAGTGGACCACGTGGTCACATGACCTGCTTCCATTGTGCTCCTGAGCTAATTGAAGCCTTTTTTTCTTCCGTTAGCCTCACTGAACGGTACTTTTCCTTCTTCGATTTCACCAAATTAATTCTACTTTTTTTTCCATTGGAAAGTTCTTTCCCCAGTTTTTATAGTTTCTGTTAAATCTGCTCAGATGTTTTCTCTGCTGGATGCATTTCAAAGCTTTGGGCCTTCTTTGACAGACTAACATCTTTTCCATGACCACAGGAATTTTTTAAGAAATGAGAACAACTCATTGCATCAGTTGGGGTTAAATGACCCATGCAGTAATCATCCAATAGGAGACTTGTTGGGGATTTTCTTTGGGCCAGGCAGTGAGTGCATTTTACCCAACAGGCCCACGCAGATTCTAGTTGTTTTCTGTAACAAATTGTGAATTTGGATTATGCTATTCAGCAACGCTTTTGGACTCGTTTTCTGTAATCTTATAAGAAGGTTTGCCATTTGGGGAAATTCAGATCTCACATTGCAGCATTTAAAAATTAAGCCAAATGTCCTGATTAGAGCCAGAGGTGAAATCTGTCTGTATTTCAGACTTTAGGGCCTAAAGTCTGGATTATAGATAATTTCCAGGAGACTGAACATGACTCTGAACAAAAGGATGTTGTTAATGAAATGAAAAAGACCCAAGAGACCACACACACAAACCAAAAGGTGAATATTTCAGTCATGTATTAAATTAATCACTTTCATTACTTTAACAAGCACAATTTACAGTCAGAAACAGGCTATGGTCCATTAGTGCCTTAGACAAGTAATTAATACATTAGTCACTTGTAAAACACAAGGGCGGGATTCTTCAAAAACTGCCTTAAGTCACCTCACAATCTATCAAAATGGGGCCATTAAAGAGGCGCTGTGTCATGGTGGAGCCTGCCGGGGGTCATCTGCACCACTACGACTGTGGTTCACTTCAAAAGGAGCACTTTGATATCTTCCACACGGGGAACTTTAGTTTTTGAGCTCCAGAGCTGGCTTTTAGTATCCAAACAGAACAAAGACCAATCCCATGACTGACCAGTAGAGGATCAGAAAAAAATTAGGGCTACCATGTTAGGTGTCACAGTATTTTTTTTTTAAAGCTTCCATAGATTTTGTGTCTATTTTTTTTGCAACACTGACCTCGTTCTCAGTCATATGCAATGAGAGCATTAAAAATAAGCTCCTGTGCATTCGAGCACAGAACATTTACCACTGAGGTCACAAGTTGCAACCACAACACACAAAATCCTGTAGCGTTAAAAAACATTAAAAATTTAGGGGAAAAAAAACAAAAAAACAAAACAAGAAAAAGATGGAAAGGAGAAAAAAACAAACAAAAACACTGATAGTTGGGCCACAGCATAATACCCTGGACAAAACACACTTAAAGATGGAAGCATTTAAATATGCCATCATATCTGAATCCAATAAATACAAATGCATTGAGGTGGATTGCTAAAAAAAGCAAAAGGCTAAACCATCATCATTAAAGAATGTAAAGTGAGTGGTCTGAAGGACAGAATCCACACAAGCATTTCATTTAGAAAACTACTGCAGAAAAAAGAAATCTATAGATCATTTTCACTGGTGAGCACGTGACAGGTAGTTGATAGAAACCATTTGATTCAACTGATTAAATCAATTATACATTTTGTAAACTAAATTTAAGAAACAAACCCTCCCAAACATTTTGGGAGTGTCCCATCTCCGAAGAGTCGTCCATTTTGTTGCATAACATCGTTTGAGCTTGGGCTAAAGTCCTCCAAGGAAAACGGAGGAAAACCATGATTATCTGTCGGATCAATTTGAGACATCTGAGGTATCAAACGACCATCTGTTCCCCACTTCTGGAGGTCAAAATAAAAAATGTCTAACTCTGGAAGGAAAATAACAAACGACAACAGGATACTGCATTTTCCAGGGTGGGCTGGAATGTCGACCACGCTCGGCCTCTCGTCCCGAATCCAACGCTGGCCTCTCTTCTCACACGGTGAAAGCAGAGGTCAGGGAGATGTGCGCCGTACAAAAGGGGGCGGGGCTAAGGGCAGCTCGCCACTTCACTGGAGGAGGGAGAAGGTCTTCACGGCACTGTCCAGCGCCACACCGGCCTCCTGCATCTCGTACCTGGGGAGCCAAGTTTGACCATTAGGGGTGGGACGGTTCACAAAATCCACCGTTCGGTTCGATTCACGGTTTCGTGGTCACGGTTTTTGGTTCGGTTCGGTATATGCTGATTGTTAGGAAAATCTATTATGTCTTGTATAGTCAGGTTAAAACTGAAAGAAAAAAGCAGTCTGACATTTGATACATTATTGTGACAGTCTTAGGTTAAAAGTAGGTGAGATTCTGCCATTGCAAGAGAGGAAACAGTGCTAATTCCAACATGAGCTTCCCTCTAAATGCAAAGTGGTCCATGCAGCAGACCTATAAACTGCTGTTGGCACGTCTGATTTTTATCGGCTACGCTGCTTCTTCTTCTTCTTGTTTACTGCTGGTGGTTGGCTTTGGGCGCAGTAGCGCCCCCTTCTGCTCTGGAGTGTAAACGCTTCCCTCTGAGAAAAAGGAGCAGCATGAACCGAACGCAACACACGCGAATCGAACCGAGACAGTCCAACCCAACGGTTCGGACGGTTTTCAGAAACCGTCCCATCCCTATTGACCATCAGTTTCCTCTTTAGCCTTTTAGCCTTTGACCCGGCCGTTTTTTCGCGTGAACTCACCAGTCGGAGGGGGAGACGGTGTAGTAGACGGGCAGCTGGCTGGAGGCGGAGAGACAGCTGAACTCCACGAGGCCGCAGGCCCCCATGTTGGAAAAGAGGAGCCAGTCTCCCACGCCGAGCTCAGGCAGCAAGCAGCGCTCCAGGACCAGGTCCAGGGGGTCCAGTGAGGGGCCCCGCAGGCTGCTGGGAAACACGGGCTCCTCCGGGCAGAGAGAGGGCTGCACAGGGGACAGAAACAGGTGTCAAACAGCTCATGAAGGCCACCGTTAAACCATGTGTAACACTGGACTTTTATGGAAACAATAACCTGTATATTAAAGGGCAAACAGGACCTTTTTGAGTCTATCTGGGATTCCTTTACTGAATATGGAAAGCATTTGAACATCTCAGAACAGATCATTTGCTTAAGGACATATACTGTTAAACTTAATTCTCAATATAAAGAGGTTAAGTCCTCTCTCTTAATACTGAGAGAGGATATTTTTTTTTTTTCGTTTTGTTTGTTTGTTATTTTGACTTGAACAAGTAACAATACTACTGCTGTTGTCATATTTTGTATATTGTTCAAGTTGTTCATTTAAGCTGCTAAAAATGTAACAAATATATTTTTGAAAAAAAAAAAAAAAAAAAAGACTTAATAGGAAATGCACCCTGATGCTAACACACCGTTTACCCCAGACGTAATTTAATCGCTTTGGAGCGACTGCAGTCTGAGGTCTGTGCAGGAGAAATCTCTCCCACAATCCATAAAGGAATTACACACAAAAAAAGGGAAATAAAACCCAACCCAACACAAAGAAACCTAAATCCAGCTCTTGTGCTGTTCCCACTTGGTCGCATGATTTAAAGAGCTGAAGCACTGAATTTCAAACAGGTCATGGAGATGATGCAACCGCTAGTTGCTAAGTACTGAAAACAAACAGAACCATGCTGGAACAAGACTTTACTTTTTATTCACTTTATAGAGGAGACTGATCTGTTTTCCTTTGAGAAGAGAAGGATTTAGAAAATACTTTTTACAGGGAACATATCTAACTATGTGGCCAATAAGAAAAAACCAGACATTAGCAAACTGTGGATCACTAAAATGTAAAGTTTTTTCCATTCAACATCTCAAAAGCTTTAGTTAAATGACCCCAATTGAACCAACGTTTGTTTTAATGTACCCAACACTCTGTATTTATAAAAAGGGTAAAAATAGATGGCATTTAACAAGAGGCTGAAATAGATTCCAACAAAAAGGATGAAATATGTTTGTTTTGTCTCAACAAATAGAACAAAACAGTTTCTTTGATTGGGTCGAGATGCTTTCTGATCCAGCTCTGTTCTGCTTTCTTAAGGCTTCTTAATATGTGACCCCCTCTGGCACCAATCGTCTTAGACAGGGCTCTGAAAGCGTCGGGTTTCTGGGCTGGAGCCCCACTGACCTTGTGCACTGACGGGACAGAGATGCCGTGTCCCAGCAGCTTGCGGCTGAATGGACCATAGACTCCCTCATTCATGTAGTAGAGGAACTCGGTATCTCCATTCTTCTCATCTGTGTGCGCACATAAATACACATTTAGAAACCATGTCAGAAATATGGAACAAGTACAAACCACAACCTTAAAGAGGCACTTTAACTATACAAGTCCAGAGTATGTTTTAAAAAATGTATACGTTTAAAAGAATATAGTAGCCGAGAGATCCAAGTGCCTCACCATGAGTTTGGGAGTCCCAGCAGTGGCTCACAACCTTCTTGCCAATAACATTCACAGCCAGGGTGAAAGCTGATGCCACGTAGAAGCTGCCCGGCTGGGCCAACACTTGAACACCCGACAACTCTGGGAAGTAAGCGTCCAGCAGTGGCCTGACAGCAGCCTCCACCTGCAGACAGAGGGATGACAGGATGGGGTTAGTGGGAGGAATGCCGGGCCCACAAAAGTATTGTTTTCTACTAGAACTGAGATCTTTTTATTCATTATCATAGTTTTATTTAAAAACAAATTAAAAAAAAGAATCAGACCATGAGAACTTTTTCATGCTTCTAAACAACACTGACGAGCTACCAAGACTTTACATCTTAAAAATAGCAGTAGTTTCTCCTAAATCTGTGTTAGTTTTGCCAATTCGAAGCAGAGCAAGTGTTTTTTTCTATTTCTGTTGTTTAAAACTGAAACCACACACCTGTTTGAGCTGAAACTCTGAACCAGTGAACCCACCGCCGATGTCCAGGATCTGCATGTTGAAACCCAAATCCACCTGAACAGAGACGCCCAACAGACACTTATTACTACGAATGGGTCAGTTTTATCAATAACAACAAAGGTCCAAGAGACAGCAACAAAAAACCAACAAGCTGCTTGAGTCAAAAGATGTGTCCACCAGCACTCACCCCCATGTCGAACACACAGCGAGCGTCGGACAGCGCGTGTCTGTAGGCCTGCTGCTGATCCTGGCAGGAGCTCGGGATGTGGAAGGTGGCTCCGACCACCTGCACACCCAACTCCTTGGCCTTCTCCAGGAGGTGCCGGCAGCTCTTCAGAGAAAAGCCAAAGGCCATGCTGGTCTCAGCTGCCTGGGCCTCAGTAGTCAACTGCAGCAGCAACCTGCAAAAACAGGAGAAAACATCGGTGTCTTTATGCGTTTGACTTAACCAAAGCCGAGCACAGAAGCCAGCACATAATAAATACAGTGCTTCTGATGCAGTGGACGAGGGCTAAAACTTTTAAAAAGTTTGACGACTTACTTGGCAGTAGGGTGCAGACGGGCAATCTTGGACAGCTCGGCCTCATTTTCGCACACAAAGTGCTGGACGTTGTTCTTGGCCGCGTGCTTGATGTGCGCCAGCTGCTTGAACACACTGGAGAAGATGATGCTTTCTGGTGGCACGCCATGCTCCAGGACCAGGCTCACCTCGGCCTGGGGCACAAGGACACGGGTTTCAGGAGAAAATTATGAAACTCAGTCGGAAATCCCCATTCAAATGATCAAAAAAGCAACATGCGAGTTACATAAGTTTAAAGGATAACAGGCAGCTGACTAGTAATCAATTGAGTGATTGTGATGTAATTGCCCTAAAACGAGTGCTTTCATAAGAGGATGAAGCGCTGTGCAGCATATATAAATGAATAAATGGGAGCTACCATAACTCGACTCTGCTGAACTAAAAGCTCACCTTGTTGGCACAAACAAAGCCGAGGCCCAAAGAGGCCAGGACCTCGATGACCGCGGGGCTGCTGTTGCACCTGACGGGGAAGTAGGGCTGCACCCGGGGCAACACGCTCTGCCAGCACACATGCTGGCGCATCAGGGCCCCCAGGTCGCCCACCACAAACGCACTCTTCTCCACCTTTGGAAGATCAAGCGAAACGTGCCGTGAGACAACAGAGCTCAGGGTGAAGCAGTGACGACAGAAAGCTTTCAAAACGTATCCGAACTGACCAGAGCCTGTTCGTAGATGTGTCCGTCAATGACATCTTCCAGAGTAACTCCTCCCTCCAGGAGTTCAACGATGTAGCTGGGAGTATCAACAATTCCTTTCATCCTAACAGTATTTCACAAATCCGATGATCGTAGAGAAATGATTATCAGGTCAGGGGTCACGACTGAGCCAATGGGGTCCTGCCGGTATGCAACAAACTGAAAAGAGAGAAAAATGAGAAATGATTAACCTCCAAGAACACATTGACTTCTTTAGGTTATTTAACTTGATTATTTATCTTTTGATTGTAAAATTAAGATTTCTTCTTTTAAACTTTCTTAAAACAAATCCACAAATATTTCAGATTTGAAATGGACAGCTCAAAATTTGTATTCAAAGCTACACAACAACACGTCTTTATGATGTGGGCGGATGTGGGATACTGACATGGACAAGTCAGGAGATGGACTTGTCCCGTTATCAGCTAGGATCCCAAGGCGGCTCAGCGTTGAAGTCAAAGTGCTCCCGGTAAAGGGCGGCCCCTAGGCCCTCTGGGTAGCGCTCATACACCTGTGCAGAGACAGGGGAGCCCTGAGGACGAAAACATACAATGTTAGAACTAAACTAAATAAATTCCACATAATTATGACATTTCAACACTAAAACTTAACCAAATGAATACGATCACATATGTTTCATTTATTAAAAGGCAAATGGACTCAATGCCTGTAAATCCCTGTCATTGCAAAGTTTAGGTTGTGTTGTTGAAATGTATTTTTTCCCTGTGAAGACACATTGATCCCTTACAAAATCTTACAAAAGCAAAGCTGTGTTAATTCTCGATTACATTTACTAAGACGGAATGGAGATATCGGTTTAGTGAATAAATAATTAACCGGAAAGAGACCTTGTCGGTATTTACACGCTTGTGATAACCAGCGAACAGCTGTAAAGTACAAAGCGCGCATGCGCTGTGAGTGAAAAAATTGACTGACAACTTGACAAATTAGATATTAATTCAATGCGTCACCAAAGACTAAAATCCCAACGTTACAGCAAAACCCACGTACGGTATTCGTTTGATAACAAAGAATTGAAGTTGCGCCGATCACAAAAAACGCCGTTTAGAGAAAACAAAGCTAGCCGGAGTCGCTAACGTTGGGCTGGCTGTCGAAAGCCTGCCGACCGGGGAGGGCTGTTAGCTCCATGTTACGGATATACAGCCTCAAACAAACGTCGACACAAGCTCAAAACACAAACAAACACTAACGTAAGGTCCCTGTTGATAGCCTCGATACGTAAAACAACCAAAAGCTGGGATAAATAAAGAGGAAATCGCGGAACTGAATGAATCGGTCTGTCATGTGCAGCGAGACGGCAGACAGTTCAGCCCGCCATGTTACGTCCAACGGCCGAATCCCCGGAACTCAACCGTTAAGCCGTACTTACGTGAGATAACGGCCAGAAGGTTTTGGAAAATCGTCTTCTCTTTTTCGGCGGAATTTTTAAAGAGTAGTGGGCACAATAATAAAAGAAAGGAAGAGGGCTGTTTTTGCCATATGCTTTGAAGACAAACGCGCGTCGCCTCGGAAGCCACTTCTCTGTCTGTCGGTGGGTGGAGAACTACTGGAACTGGGGCTGGGGAAGAGGAAAAGGTAATCAACGGTCAGTGGGCGGGGCCTCGCGTTCAGTTCGACCAATGAGCGCTCAGCATTTTTTACTACTTGCCAAATATGTATTTCCGACTGTCGTACAGTCCGCAGTAGATCTGTCATGTTTATTCAGGTTACATAACCGTGAACTTTCCATAGATGGCAACACAGTCAATCAGCCAAACTGTACATCTTGCCTGTTTTCTTGGGTTTAGTTCATGCAGCTGCAATAGTTCATATGGGGAGGATGACCCCTTAGCTTTAACCCCTTAGTTTACACTTTAACAAGAAAAACTTATTTTATTAAATACTGAAGCAACTTCAAAACAAATCTTTGTCTTGAATCTGAATGCTCTACCCGCCTTTATAATGCACTAAAAAAAACTCTTTCATGTATTGCAGTTAAAATGTAATCAAGTTTACTGCACAATTGCTTTTAGTTCATGTCCTGCAACTGAAACTGGTTAAAACTGCAGTGAATTATGTATCTTTGTCTAAATGGGGAACTATCTGTTTTGTACCATGCATATCATGTCATAACAGTTTTGAGAATTCAGTGAAACATTAGTGACAAAGGAATAAATTAAAAGAATGTGTAGTCTCTCAGGTCCATAGTTCAGCCTGTCTTTAAACGCCTTCGGGCCTTTTCCTTTGTGAATTGAAGACTGTACAAATATGGAACAGTTTTAACTAACAGGCTGCCAGCAAGTATCTTTGCTTTGATGGTAAAGCCCAACACCTCATGGGATTTCTCATTCTCATAAATCTGAACACTGACTCTCTTTAGACAGGATTTGTGATGGGATATAGTTTTTTGCCATAGTCTCTGTCAATCAAAGTTCCTTGATTTTTTTTAAACAGTGCAAAGTCCACATAGATTTTTTTTAAGCAAATATTTTCCTAATTTAAGATGTTATTATTTTTTATGACAACTTCTCTTTAGGAACCTTTCATTCTTCAACTATTTCTTCAGATTGATTTTTTCAACTTGGACAAAAGACAAAGTGTCTGCTTTGAAATTCACACGAGAATCTGTGAGAACTGCAGAAAATTCAATTTTGTGCTTTAGTTCCGCTGAGTTTAGACAAATGCTTGCACTGTCCTCTGAAGGGAAGTAAGTAAATACATTTAATTCGCAACCAGAAGTAACAGATATAAAGAAATAACAGCATAAATAACCAATTTCCTAATCCTCCAATACACCCCACAAGTGAAAGAAATACTGACATTATCCTGAAACCTTAAAGGTCACAGCACTGAGACTGAGACACAGTGTTTGTCTCTTATTAACAGATTAAAAATATTTTCCTGTGACTTGTCTAGCAGAGGATCAAGCAACCAGAAATAACCGGTCTGCAATAGGTAGATTTTGCTGTTGGGCAGAATATTTAATGATCACATGTGATTCAAAGAAAAATAATACTTCAAATCAGAGAGAAAATGGTTGTATCAGATAAATCAATGTTTATTTTCAGTATTAGCTTAGTCAAAATTGCAGATACAGAAATATTTTGTATAAACTAAAGTTGTTTCTGTGCAACACTGGTGTAAATCTGTGAGCGTACCGAAAGAATCAACTGATCTATAGCCAGATATCCCATCAAACAGGCTTTAAGTAGTATGATCTAAGAAGGAATAAAAGTAGAGGTGTTTTTTTAAGAGCTGAGGGGTCAGTAAGAGCAGCAGTGTTGACTAAACCGCTCTGAGGTCACGTGACCGGAGTGTTGCGCAGGGAGGCTTTGCGCAGACTCAGAAGAGCTTCCCTGGTCAGCTGACTGTGAGTGAGATGTTCAGTTGAAGGACCACCGAGTCTAAAAGCTGCCGTTTGTGCCCACCGTGTCGGGAGCTGCCCCTGTTTGACTGAAGAGGAGCTTGTTGACTAAACGTTAGAGCCCGTCAACCAACCGGTGAGTCCGTAAAAGCCTCGATTTTAAATGTCGTGACGGCGCGAGCCTGCGATGTTAAACAAGCTTCTGTCAGCATCAAGCTAACAGCAAGTCTGACCCATAGACATATACACATATACGTATATATGTCTATGGTCTGACCGTTTATGGAGTAGCTCTGTTACGACAGTCACCACCGAGTTTTTAAAACCAGCAGAAGAGTCGCAGTTGGAGGTAATGGTGCGTTCACGGCCTTTAATTAAACGGGGATCTCCGGGTAGCGTCCGGCCGCTGCACGACGGTGGTCATATGACCGTCTTTCAGCAGACACGGAGGCTTGCCTGTGTCCTGTTACAGCCTGGGCTGCTGAGAAATGAGAGGAAGTGCATGCACAGTAGAGGCCAAAAGCAGAAGAAGGAGTCCTAATGCCACAGTTGGGTCCAGTAACGAGGAGGAATAACTCTGTCATCTGGAAAAGTAATGCTTTACGAAGTCCAGTTAGAAACAAGAGCTGTGCTTCAGGGCTTCATAATCCAGAACGACACATTACACTAAAAAGAGTCATATTTGAATTCTTACATTAAACAGGAATGAAGGTCTGGTTCTCAGAGAGGAAGAAGAGCTGCCAGTGACCAGTACGATCAGTCTGAACTGACCACGGTTTCTCTCTGCTGGACACTTCTCTGTAAATCACAGAGATGGGTGAACATAAAAATGCCACCAGATCAGCAGTTTCTGAACATTTTCATTCAATTGCAGCTACAAAAGGCATGTAATCTGTTTAACTAATCTTAATTTACCGAATAATATTCATTCAGACAGATGTTCCTTCAACAGTTAGTACAGAAGAAGCGTGAAGTCTTAAGGATGAGAGTCCAAATGATAAATACTACAGAAACCACCCACAGTGTGGTGGTGCTACATGCTTACTTGTTTAAAGTGCTTCAAGATGACTGAATTATAAAAAATCAAAACCAATCTTAGGCACAGTAGTCCAGAAAAGGGATGTCCCGATTCAGCTTTTTTCACTTACGATCCGATCCCGGCCTATCAGAGCATGTGTTAAAGTTTTGGGTTATTTAGCCTACTTACTTAGTTGTCAGACTCATGTTGAACAGGGATTTACTCTGATAACAACTTAATGGTTAGGACACAGACCTGTGGGTCAGGAGATGCTGATGCTCGTTTCTTTTAAAGAAAACTGGATCTGTAGTCTGGATCTGCATTTTCTCCTGTCGGCCGATACGCATTTTTTTGCAAATATCGGCGGCCGATCCGATCCAGATATCGGATCGGGACAAGCCTAGTCCAGAATGAAGATCTGTAACTGGACAGAGTCGCTTTATCTCCGGTCGGTCTCACCCTTTCCCCTCAGGGACGTCCTAACATCAGCGGTCAGGTGGAGAAACGTCCTGCCAGCAGCCATGACAGAATTCTGGTTGATCTCCGCCCCGGGGGAGAAGACCTGCCAGCAGACCTGGGACAAGCTGATGGTGGCCACCACCCGCACCAACAACCTGTCCACCAACAACAAGTTCAACATCCCCGACCTCAAGGTGATGGCCGCCCCCCGCCCCCCCCCCCTGCGGCCTCTCTGATCTCTGACCTCTGACCTGTGCTTTGCCTCCCACAGGTGGGGACGCTGGACGTTCTGGTGGGTTTGTCGGACGAAATGGCTAAGCTGGACACATTTGTGGAAAGGTAACAATTACAGCCATTGTTCATCTCTAGCAAGTTCATCTCTACCCTCTAAATGCTTTAAATTACATTTAAATCTACGGTACGGTCATATAAAAAGTCGCTAATCTTAAACAAAACATTGGCGACTACATAATAAAAACGAGAATATTCTTAATTAAAAATTTGCATTTGAGGCCATAGAAGACCCTCCCTGGTCATTTTTGTATTAACATTTAATGGCAGTGTTCATAAAACAAAACTCTTATTGCTATAATTACTGCTATCGTTATCATTAGTATCAATATCATAGCCATTTTCCATCCAGTTTATGTGTTACTGTGTAGGCTGCCTCTCTCCACTCCCTCTCTCTCTCTTGCCCTCTCTCTCTTTCTTGCCCTCTCTTTCTCTCACCCCTAACCGGCCGAGGCAGATTCCCCCCCACCCTGAGCTATGGTTCTGCTCCAGGTTTCTGCCTGTTAAAAGGAAGTTTTTCCTTGCCTGTGTCGCCTAGTGCTTGCTCTTGGTGGGAATTGGTTGGGCTTCTGTAAATAACTACTGGTCTGGTCTGAGCTTCTCTGTTTGGAAAGCGTTGTGAGACAGATGTTGTTGTGATGTGGTGCTATATAATTAAAATTGAATTGAATTGAATTGAATTAACAAAAAAAATAAAAGCCAAATTTGGCGCGCATGTTGGACAGCAGGTGGTTTGTTGAAATGACAGAGGGTTGCTGAAGAGCCTGGCTGTATTTCTGTGCCCTCCTGTGTGCAGCGTGGTGAAAAAGGTGGCTCAGTACATGGCCGATGTTCTGGAGGACAGCCGAGACAAAGTGCAGGAAAACCTTCTGGCCAACGGAGGTAATTAACGCCAATCCCAGAGCCAGACGCCTTCCAGGGAACGGGCAGGTTGATGATGATTAATGCTGAGAACCTCTATGTGGTGTCCTCCTCTGTAGTTGACCTGGTCACCTACATCACCAGATTTCAGTGGGACATGGCCAAATATCCCATCAAACAGTCTCTGAAAAACATCTCCGAGATCGTCTCAAAGGTACCTGGAAAAACCAGCTCGCTGCTTGTGTTGATTGTTCATCACTGATCTGAACGTTGCTTTCTTCCAGCTTCCCATTTTCTCTGATCCTCACCAAAGTGAGACATTTTCACTTTATTTGACTTGTTTTTCTAGCAAGCCACTCAAATAGACAACGACCTGAAGGCCAGAGCTTCCGCTTACAACAATCTGAAAGGGAACCTGCAGAATCTGGAGAGAAAGAACGCGTGAGTACAAATAAAACTCGTGTTTTTAAAATGAAAAACCATGAGGACAAAACATGGAATGGCGCGCTGCTC